GACACACAGACACAGGAATACTCACAAACTTACATAGACACAGACACACACAGAGACACAGAGATACACACGGATACAGACACACAAATACACAGATACACACACATAGAGACACACACAGGGACACAAAAATACACACGCATACAGACTCACACACACACACAGAGACACACGCGGACTTGCCTTCAGCCTGACGCCACGCCCTGCTCAGCACCCAGCAAGGATCAGTGTGTTCCGTCCTGGTCCTTAACCATCGGTCCGTCAGCACATTCCCGGGCATCTGGGTTGAGGAAGCCCGGCAAGGGCGCCACACCCATGTCCTTACTGCAGGACTTCTCAGAGCCTTGATAGCTGACGTGCCCGGAGGTGGAGTGTGTTACTTCTCTGCTCCCACACTCACTGGTCAGAACCCCCCTGTCCTCTAGGACCCCGTTATGCTTGCCTGGTGGGTACTGTTTTCTCGTTCAGAACATCTTTATGGGACAGCCCCTCTGTGTGCAGCTCTGCTCTAGGGCCTGGGACAGCAGAGAACGAGGGGACAAGGCTTAGTCCTGGAGCGGTCACCCGAGTCCTGGAGCTGGGGGAGAGAGAGGAACAGAGCCCAAACACAGTCAGGGAGCCACGCCAGCCTCCATGTGGTCCCCCAAGACCCCGAGCCCAGAGCGAGCCTGTCCCGAGGCCTGTGGCGTCAGCAATGGGGAGGGGGCAGGGCTGAGTCAGGGGTTCTGGGGAGGGTCTTTGCTGACATGGCACAGAGCTGGGAGGGCTGCCAGATGCTCCCCCCTCCCCCGACTGCATCCTTCCTGCTACAGATCTTGATTAGCTTCTCGGTAAATTTCATTTGATCGGTGCGCCCTGGAGATCAGGGCTTTCAAGATCCGGTTCCAGTTCTGGTCATTCCCGAAGGAGACTAAAGCTTCAAACTGGGGGCTGTGCCAGGAGCAGCCCCTGGGAGCTGGGCTGGGGGATGTGCGCCCTGCAGCGGGGACCCAGGGGAGGGCCCCAAAGCAGGCGGAGGCACAGCCGCTTCTCCAGGGAATGGAAGAGGCCATGGATGGCTTTAGGGAGGAAAAGGGGGTGCCTGCTTCCGATGGGGTAGGGGAGGTCCATCCCTCCGTGCTTCCCACAGCTGGGGGCGAGGGGAGGGGTTGGCTGCTCGTCTCTGCAGGGAGGGGAGGGAGTTTCTGCAGCCCAGAGACACTGCCACATCTCCACGGTGCCAGGCCGGTCCCTAATGTCCACGGTAGGGCCGCGCTCAGTGCCCTCCACTCTGCCTGGGTACCGCTGAGGAACAGCGCTCGCTCTGTGCCCCCGGAGGCTGCATTCCTAACGAGCCTGGTTCTGTCTGATTAAAGATGACAGCCGCTTGTCAGAAGGCACAAGACATCGTTTTCAAACCACGCACCGCAAAATCTCATGGGCTTTTGATACACTTTCAAAATCTGCGCCATCTTGAGTCCCACCTGGGTAAGGGGCTGCGCTGCCTCCCGGGCTGGGGGCTGGGGTGACGGCACAGATGACTGAGGCCCTTCTAGGACACTTGTAGGGAGGAAAGGGCTCTGACGGAGCAGGGGCTGCTGCTGGGTTCCGATCACGTGGAACGCCCCGGCCACCGTGGCCACTGCGAGACAGAGCAGAGCAGCAGTGGGGGTTGATGCAAGGGGTGAGGACGCTTTTATTTTGGACTTCGTGAGCCTGTCTCAGTCGGCTTGGGCTGCTGTGCTATGAACTGCGAGGCTTAAACAACGGCTCTAGAGGCTGGAAGTCCGAGATCAAGGTGCCAGTGCACTGGGTTCCTGGCTTGGAGATTGTCACCTTCTCCCTGTGTCCTCCCGTGGCAGAGAGCTCTGCTGTCTCATCTTGTAAGGACACGAGTGTCCTTATAAGACATCCTGGGGCCCCACGTGGCTTTTCATGGCTGAGCAATCTGCCGTTGTGTTTATCACACTCACGTTTGGACATTTGGGCGGGTTCCACCTTCTGGCTACTGGGAATAACGCTGCTGTGAAGATTTACGTGCGCGTTATTGTGTGGACCCAGGTTTTTATCTCTCTTGTTCTCTTCCTTTTTCCTAAATACCTAGGAGTGGAATCGCTGGGTTGTATGGTAGTTCTGTGTTTAACTTTTGGAGGCACTGACAGTGTTTTCCACAGTGGCTGCACCGTTTTACATCCCCACCACCGATGTGCAAGGGTTCCAGTTTCTCCGTATCCTCACTAGCACTTGTTATTCTCCATTTTGTTTTAATTACAGTCGCCCTCGTGGGTGTGAGGTGGTGTCTCATTGTCGCTTGGGTTTGCCTTTCCTGGATGACAGTCATGCTGAGCATCTCTGATTTCTTCTTGGCCGTTCCTGTGTCTTCTTTGGGGAAAAAATGTCCGTCCAAGCCGTTTGCCTATTTTTTAACTGGACTGTTTGTCTTTTTGTTGTTGAGCTGTAAGAGCTCTTTACATATTCTGATCCTAAACCCTTATCAGATCTGTGATTTGCAAATATTGTCTCCCATTCTATAGTTTGTCTTTTCACTTTCTTGATAACGTCCTTTGATGCACAAAAGTTGTTAATTTTTATGAAGTCCAACTTATCTATTGTGTTGTTGCGGCTCACGCTTTGCTTTCCGTGTCATATCTGAAAATCCACGGACAAATCTGGGGTCAGCAAAATATACCCCTGTGTTTTCTTCTGTGGTTTTATACTTCTGTGGGAAAACTCTCTTACTGGCATGTAACACACAGAGGAGTCCATGAATCTCACACACTGGACACACCCAAGCCACCAGCACCCAGACCAAGAAAACACATGCCCCGCACCCCAGGCAGCCCCCTGGGGCCCCCAACGCAGCCACCACCCTGACTCTGACCATATAGATTCATTTGCCTCGTTTTGAACTTTGTAAAAATGGAATCGGCTCCGCGGTGTCTGGTTTCCTTCCTCAGCCTTGAGTCTTTTCTAGGCCTCCAAGTTGATTGCTCAGGGTGTGGGATTTGGGGGTGCGTGGGCATGGGTGCACACCACAGAGTCAGGGACCCCCCTCCGGCTGGGGACAGAGGCCACAAAGGCCAGACCCCTGGGCGCCAAGCCTGGCTCCACCCCCTCCTGCTGTGTGACCTTGCTCAGCTTCCTCCACCTCTCTGTGCCCTGGTGGAAACAAAGGTAGTCATGAACCTCACAGGCTGTCACAGGATGAAGACCAGTCAGTGTGTGAAGCGGCTTCTTGCCTCTCCCTGTAGAAATAAGCGGTGTCCCCGTCGCTGCTGGGGCGTCTGCCGGCTGCTGGGTTGGGGGTTGCTTTCCAGAGGGAAGAGTGTGGACGCTGGGCCGGGCCCTGGCGGTGGCTGCAGGGCTCTTTCTCTGCTCAGCCTTAATTCTCATTGGTCGGGCTGGGGTTTCAAGCCTGTCCTCTTACAGACTCCCCACGGCTTTCTCTCTCCACCTGACTCACGTGTAGACGTGCCGTGTAGACAACAGTGTGTGCTTTCTCCCCCAAGTGGCTGTCACAGAACTCCTGCTGTTTGATGTCATGAGGGTGGGTTGTCCCCCCGACCCAGAATGAAGGGGGTGCCTGCCTGAGGAAGGCGTGAGGACAGGTCAGAGGTCACAATGTTTAAAGCACGTGAGTCCTCAGTTGACACCTGGGACCTGATAGCAGGTGGTTTCTATTAAAGCTACAGCGCTGTTCCAATCCCCTGTTTGTACCTCAAGGACGGAGCTGCTCTGACCGCTCGGCATTTTAAGGATGAAGTGGCAGCTTCACCCTCACTCTGCCTGGGCCCAGTGCTGCAATGTCACCTGCTCCCCAGATAGATTCCTGAGACTAGGGGTTCCTGCAATGGCCCCGTGCCAGGCCCTGCCCTCGGAGGCTCACTGTCTAGCGGGGAAGACTCACCCCAAATAATTGTCAAACCCTGTGAAAATGGGGCTGTGGGAGCCCAGAGCAGGGAAGCAATCAGGGGAAGCTTCCAAGAGGAGGTGGCGTTGGAGATGAGATCGGGAACATTCCAGGTGGTCCCGGGTGCGAGAGTGGGGAGGGCAGTCCTGGTGGACGGGGCTGCAGGTGCAAAGGCCCAGAGGCCGCAGAGCCAGCAGGACTGAGCACTTGGCATTCTCACGCTTCCCCAAGCATCCCTTTGCCTGGAGACACGTGTGGGCCACGCAGACTGACACCTCCGGTCCCACACGCAGGAAGGGAGTCTGTTTCGGATTCTTCCTCCCTGATACTCAGGGGTCCCCTCGGGCCTGGTTTGCACGGAAGGCACCGGTGGGGAAGGGGAAGGAAAGTGAGGTGCTCGTAATGAATTTGCACCCTGTTACTGATTCAGGAGAGTATGACTAATTCAGTTTCAGAGAGCGGTGATTAACCTTCGCATCTCAGGAAAGAGTGAGGGGGTTACATCCACATCTAGCAGCAGGCTGCAGCCACACCCAGCCCAGGTGAAGGAACGGTCAGTGTACAGTCATGCTGAAGACACCGTGTAGAAATAAGCCAAACTTGCCAATGTCCTTTGTTTTGGTTATTTTGGTATTAATTTTTTAATCGATTTGAATGGGTTTCAAGAATGATAAAAACTGCAAAACGCTCCTTGAGCAAACTGAGCGATACAGAGAGACAAAAAGAAAATGATCTACCACTTTCACCCCACCTGTCCTGTCCCTCCATCTGGGGAAATAACGTTAGGTCCTCCCTCCCCGCCCCACCAAGATACAGAGGTACATGGGACCTGGCACCCCTCTGCCTCGTGGGTGGGGCAGACCCATCCACCACTGAGCCGGGAGGAGCTGGCGACACAGCTGCTCTCCCGGAGGCCGGTCTCTGCTCCCAGGCGTGGCCCCAGCGGGCAGGGGCCACATTCACACACCCTGGACGGCCTGGGGCACCACCGTCCCATCCTCCTGGGTGTGGGCTCTCCACCACACAGCCCGCCTTCCTGCCTCACCTGAGCACCTGCGTGAGGACACGCCGTGCCCTGAGCAGAAACACCTGTGCTTTGTGCTTTTTCCAGGCGGGGGAGAAGCACTTCCACCCTCTGTGTGCGCTATGTGTCGGGTGCGGCCGGATGTTCGCGGAAGGCGAGGAGATGTATCTGCAAGGTAAGAAGGAGAGAGCGTGCTGCTCGGGACCCGAGGGCACCAAACAGGCGGCCCCCGGGCCCACGCCCTGTGCCGGGTGTGCTCTGGCGTGTCAGCGAGCTTTCCCGCTAGTTAGGGAACGCCACCCCCCAGCAGGGATGGGGGTCCAGGGCCCAGCAGGCTCTCCCCACGGAGCACCCGCCAGAGTCGGCAGAGTGACAGCCTGCCCGGTTTTGCATCGTCCATCCACGTGATGTCCGTGAACCTGAGATGGACGCGATAAGAGAAAGGCCAAATTCAGGAGCAAGATGCAGGAGTGTTGGAAATTTGGGTCCCAGCAGCCAAACGGAAGTGGATGTGGTCTGTGGTCGCTTCAAGCCTGTCCTGAAAGCCCCACAGCCCAGGGTCCATGTCTCAGGGCTTTCCCCCGCACTACCCTCCCTTGATTGGTGAGGGAGTGTGGAGACCACGGGCCGCTCCTGAGGCTTTTTTCCTGATCAAGGGAGTCGCCAAAGTGTCGGTAAAGAGAGTTCTGGAGAAAAACATAGCCAACCTTCTAACCCATTTCGTGGCATTTCATGGGAAATCCCCAACCCATTCACCATTAAAATAATAATAATAATAGAATAAAGGCGAGGCGTCCTGTGGCCACCAGACCTGGAGAAGCAGCAGGTGACAGCCAGTTGCCCCCTCCCTCCTGCAGTGACCCTGTTCAGCTCGTTGCCGCTTTTGTTCAAAAAATTGCACCCACACTCAGACCGGAGCACCCAGCTCCCAGCTATTGCTTTACGTGTTTATTCACCGGGGTGCTAGGAGTTCTCCTTCGAGCTACACTTAGTTTTATCAGCTTGAAGACCCACCCCATCCCTGTGGCTTATTCATTCCCAAGCCTTGATGAAGATTATTTGGACACTTGTCAAAACGGTAGGAAGACGGTATATTCAGGACATGGCAGAAGGTGGGAGGGGAGTCAGGCCAACTCCGAATTCACAAGGACGGGGGATTTATAGCCAAGGAGGGGGTGGGGATTAGGGGGGGACGGGTGGATGGAAAATTACCAAGAGGAAAGGCCGAGAAGGATTCCTGCTGAAGACAGGCCAGCGGCCTAGATGCAAAGTCAGTGGTGGGGCTGAGGCTCCCCAGTGCCCTCGCTGACACTGGGCTCGCAGGTTGAAGGCCTTCCCCGAGGGGCCTGGGCGGGATGGGTTAGATGCTGAGACCCCCTGTCTCTGTAGTCACATTGTCTTTTCAAGGACGTCAGTGTCTCCGTGACCCCGGAGGCAAGCTGAGTAGGGCCAGACGGACCATTGGATGACCTCACCCGGCGTCCTTCTGGGGCCGTGTGTCACACAGGCCTCCCTTTCTGAGACTGAACCTCGTGGGGTGACGTCAGCCAGGACTGCCTGGTCCCCAGCGTCCCCTCTTGTTCTTCAGTCTTGAGAGCTTATGAAAGGGGTCCTTTACGTATGTCTGGGTGGGGAGGGGTCACCCTGTCCGAGGCGCCCGCGCCCACTGTAAGTGGCACCTTCAGGACGTACTGACGCCTGGCACAGTGGCATCGCGCCGGCAGCTTGGGGACACGAGCTGGCCATCAAGGGGACCCAGTCTCCGAACAAAGATGCTCTTCATGGCTCTGGGCTCCCTGTTCCTGATGCGGGACCTGCCCTGACTTTCTGTGGGATGTCGCAGCCCATCCCGTCGCCTCCCAGCCTCTTTCCCAGTCTGTGCCGGAAGGGTTCAGACCCGGTCGGTGATTTTCACGCCCCACTCCACGGAGCACCAGAGTCCCACGGTGAGGGGCCCCTTTGGGGCTCTGGCCCTGCCCTGCACGGACACCCCGAGACCCTCTGCCTGGTCCACCTGGATGCTGGGGCTCCAGGAGGGCGTATTTGACGGCTGAATCCCATGCAGCAAAAGCTGCAAGGAGCAGAGGTCCCGGAGAGCCCTTTGGCCTCCAAGGGAGATGAGGTGCCCCCCCGCCAAATACCAGCACTGCCACCCAGCCCTGGACGCACCTTCCTGTCTGCAGACTCAGTGAACATAGGCGGGGGGGTCTGACTCTCGCTAATTATCAGGGAGACCCAGATTAAAATAACGCGTTGATGTTATTTTTCCCACTGGGTGGACGAGGGTTAAAAGGAAGGACACACCCCCATGCTGTGGGGATTGGAGGAAACGGGCGTCTTACCTGGCTCGTGGGCGAAAACTGGGGAATTGCCAAGATGCCCCAAGAGCCTTCAAAATGCCCACACCCGGGCTTCCCTGGTGGCGCAGTGGGTGAGAGTCCGCCTGCCGATGCAGGGGACGCGGGTTCGTGCCCCGGTCCGGGAGGATCCCACATGTCGCGGAGCGGCTGGGCCCGTGAGCCATGGCCGCTGAGCCTGCGCGTCCGGAGCCTGTGCTCCGCAGCGGGAGAGGCCACGGCAGTGAGAGGCCCGCGTACCACAAAAAAAAAAAAAAAATGCCCACACCATCTGAGCCAAGACCCCACTTTTAGGAAGCCCTCAAGTAAATCAGAGAGATGGGGTGGAACTCATGTACAATGGACTCTCCGCAACTTTTTTTTTTAATATAAATTTACTTATTTATTTGGCTGCGTAGGGTCTTCGTTGCTACACGTGGGCTTTCTCTAGTTGCGGCGAGTGGGGTCTACTCTTCGATGCAGTTGCGGTGCGCTGGCTTCTCATTGCGGTGGCTTCTCTTGTGGAGCACAGGCTCTAGGCACGCGGGCTTCAGTAGTTGTGGCACGTGGGCTCAGTAGTTGTGGCCCGCGGGCTCTAGAACGCAGGCTCAGTAGTTGTGGAGCACGGGCTTAGTCACTCTGCAGCATGTGGGATCTTCCCGGACCAGGGCTCGAACCCGTGTCCCCTGCATTGGCAGGCAGATTCTTAACCACTGCGCCACTAGGGAAATCCCTCCCTGCAACTTTATTTAGAAATAAAACTTTGGAACTAACAGGCAAGGAGCAGATAGAGACATTCTCATCAATCCGTACGATGCAATATTATGCAGCCCTTAAAGTTATAGTTTTGATATTTAATTACGTGGAGAACTACTAAGACACTTTTAAGCAAAAATCGCAGGATACAAAACTGTGTACCTACGTTGTATTTAATACGTATGTGTACACTGCAAGACAGCCCGACCCAAAGTGGGTAGGAGGTTACAGATGATTTTAATTTTCCTATATATTCTTTTTTAGGCTTGTTTAAATTTTAATCAAAAAAACAGCTATTACCTTTGTAATCATAAATAATGTTTTAAAAATGAAAAGCTTACGCACAAACCAACCAAGGCCCGGCCTCTCTGGGAGCTCCGGCTTGGTGCAGATATTTTCCCAGGGAGGAGCAGAAATAAGTTCCCTTCCCCGGCATTAACTCACGTGACCCGGAGGCTTTGCAGGCGGAAATGGGGTGCAGCTCCTTCCTGCCGCCACACGTTGAAGCCCCTGCTGTGTGCCGGGCCCCTACTACGTCCACTCTGTGTGGCTTGTTCGGGGGGTGTGAGAATGGGATGGACAAGGCTCCCACCTCCACGCGGGGCATGGGCTGTCCTGGCAGCGGTGGATGTAAACGTGGACACAGCAGCCGTGGCCACCCGCAGAGGGTGCGTGAGTGGAGTACAGATGGACGGAGGGAGAAAGGGGACCGGGCTGAGGTTCAGGGAGGCCTGAGGGGGGAAGCAAGCGCTCTGGGCCCTGAAGTTATTACCCCGATTTAGTTATATTAAATTCTGCTAAAGGCCTGAACAGGTAGGATTACTGTCAGCCCTGTGTGCAGGTGGGAAAACTCTGAGACTCGGGGAGGTCGAGTTTGAATTAGAAAAGAGCAGGGCCCTTGGGGTCCTTGGGACGCTTGGTGACCTGTTACCTTGAGGGGGGCGCCTGTAGCTGTGGAAGCTGGGCGGGGCCGGCATTAGCGAGACAGCGCAGACACCCCGCGAGTGAGTGCAGGGTTGGGCCCCCAGCCTGCAGCCCTCATCTTCACCCCACACCTAAGGTTCCCACCTGGGGGTCCCCGAGGAGAGCCCTGCCCCAAGCCCTCATTCCCCAGGCAGGTCCCACTGGGCTCCGGCCCCCCACTGCGCCCATGGCTGGGCCTGGCCACTGCCCACCCGCACAGAGAGGAGCTGGTGCAGGTCGCACGGCAGCCCCTCTTGTCTCCCCTGCCTCTGAATAGAAGCCACCCGCAGACCCCCTCCTCGGAGAAGCCTCGTCTGGGTGCCCGGGGTTCCGAGGGACCCCATGGGAGCATCAGCTCGTGGTGGGGCGTTTCCTGTCTGTTTCATGTCCTCCCCTTCCCGGTGGGGCTGTGAGCCCCCGTGATCGGCCCCAGGCCCAGCCCTGACCTGTGACTCCGGCACAGACGAAGGGGAGTGAGGGTCCGAGTGTGGACGCCAGCTCCCTCCTCCTGACACTCCGCAGGGCCCCTGCATCTCTGGAAATAACACTAACACTTCCCTCTTGGGAATCTGTCCACAGGCGCCTCCGTCTGGCACCCGGCGTGTCGACAGGCGGCCAGAACTGAAGACAAAAGCAAGGTTGGTGGAGTTCAGCCCCTTCCGACGCCTTCCCCCCACTTCTGCACTATCATCACACGGTTAAGAGGACGCTGGCTGGGTCTGCAGGCTGGCCGGCCAGTCCCACCAGGCTCTGGGGCAGGTGGCCCGCGGCCTGGCGATGTTGAGGTGTACACAGGTAGATCAGCTGCTGGGTGGGACCAGGGCCCTTCCCGCACTGGCCCTGCCGACCTCTTCCTTTGTTCAGTGGACGCTGATGGCTGCGGAAGTTCTGGGACAACTGCAAAGTTAGCGGGTCTCCAAACAGTCCCAAGACCGTCCATACTTCTGACGCCAACGGCTAGTTCGAGGGGTCCTCACAGCTGCCCGCAGGTTCATTAATGTGTCTGAAGCACTCACGGAACTGTTACAGCCCCGTTATGGTTTATCCCGGCAGGGGGCAGGGGGAGATACAGAGTGAAATCAGCCCAGCATGGGGCAGGGTCCAGGAGGGGTCCGGACACACGGTACCATTGTCTTCTCCCCGTGGAGGCCAGACTCGGCCCCTCCCAGTGACGGGTGACAGCGCACACGGAGTGTTGCCAACCAGGGAAGCTCTGGGGCCAGAGACCTTATCGGTGCTCCATTAAATGACTGATTGGTTGGTTGGTTGATTGATTGGTTGCCATGTGGTTGATTTCACTCTCCAGGTGACATGACCCAAGACCACCAGAATCATAGGGTTGGTCTTTCTGGCGTGGCCAACCCCACTCTAAGAATTTTGGGTGCAGTTAGCCCCCTCCCTAAACAGAGACATCCTATCGGGTACGATCACCTTCCAGAAACTAGAGCAAGACCTCCCTCTGGGCCAGGCTAGACCACCCCAGGCCAAATTCCTTGCCCCTCAGAGGCCCTGTGCTGGGCGCCAGGCTGCAGGTGCAGGGTGAGAAAGGAGGCCGGCATGCCCCTGACCCTTCCGGGGCTGGCGTCCCAGAGAGAGGCAGAAATCAACGCCTCAGCAAGAAGATAATGCAGCAGTGGTTGGCGGGGCAGGAGAGTGGGGGAAGGACCGACCTGACCTGGGATGGTTGGGGGGGTGGGGGTGCAGGCGGTCCTCCAGAGGAAATGAGCAGGAGCTGAGCCAGAAGATGAGACGGTGCCAGCCCTGAAGAGAGGGAGAGGGAGTGCGGTTCCAGGCAGGGTGGGGGTTCGTGCAAAGGCCCTGGGGCAGGAACAGGGCAAGCTCCCTTTGGCTTGGGTGGCGGTGGGGTGAGCAGGGGAGGGGTCCCGCTGCCCCCGGGCTGCCACGCCTCCGTCCTCACCGCTCCCTTTCTCCCCTGCGCCTTCGCAAACGCGTTCCTTCCGCCAGAGATGCCCTCTCGTGCCCTTGCATCACGCATCCTGGCAAACTCCTCCTTTGGGTTTTAAGATTCACCCAGAACGTCAGCCCCTGAAGACCTTGCCAACTCCTGCTCCTGCCCCGCGTCCTCAGCTCACACCCCGCAGGCAGCTCCCTCTTCCCTAAAAGCCTGGAGGAAAGGCTCCAGTCTCTCCGTCCTGAATTCCCGGCTCCCACACGAGTCCTGGCAGGTGACACACTCAAGCGTTTGCGGGTTGAAGGAAGGAAGTGAATACAATGAACTGCAGCCCAGGGGACCGCAGGCCCTCGAGGGGAGGCATGTCAGCCAGCTTTGCTCTGTCAGGCACTACCAGACCCTGTGCCAGGGGGCCCCCCACCCCTGCAGGACCCCCACTGGGAGCCACGCCCTGCAGGGCCCCGGGATAGCGTAGATGGTCCGCGGGCAGCGAGTGGTGTGTGACCCACGGGACTCCGGGCCCGGCCTCAGGACGCCAGCAACCCCTGGCTTTCCACTCTGTCCCCCATGCGTGGTGTCCCAGCCATGCCAACCCTTTTAAAGCCACCAGACAGGCTACGGATGAGCCGGGTGGCGGTGGGCCCTTGAAGACCCTGGCTACTCAGATGCCGCATAGCACGGGTCTGCATCCGTGTCTGGGAGATGGACAGGGAAACTGCTGCAGGGGGCGGGGGGACGCACGGGGTCGCTAGCGTGCCCGTGTGTGGTATGCACAGTGATGCTGGGATCACTGCAGAGTTCAGACCCAGCCTTTTCGGACCCAAGCCCGTGGGATACCCAGAATTCCTTTCAGGGGTGAGGGGCTCGCTCTGCTGGTGGCAGCTCTGGGTCAAGAGGCCGAGGTGACCGGGGTCCCTGGCTGGAGGCGGGGAGGGGCTGAGAGGAGCAGAGGCTGGAGAGTCAGGCAGGTGTCCCGGGAAGCGCGTGGGAGGCCGGCCGATCCGGGGGTCTCGGTGTCTCCCTGCGACTGGCAGCTGTGTTTGGCAGGAGGGACCGTCGCCCAGAGGAATTCGGCTCCAGGAGGAAAGGGGCAGAGCTCAGCTGTTGGGCGTACTTTGCTCTTTACTGTTGACGCTGGTTCTGTTCGTTGAGCCCTTCACTGATACCTTGCACTGCGGGAGCGAGGGGTCAGGGCTGCAGAGTCCCCCCACCCCTGGCTGTGGGGAGTGAGTAGAGCCAGAGCAGAAACTTGTCCCCAGACCTAGCAGACGCCGCGGGGGCTCAGGGCTTGGGAATTCCTGGTGGGGCTGGATGGAGACCCACCTCGTGAACTTTGGCCCACGAGACGTGATGGGGGCATGGGCTGGTGGAGGGGACCCTCCTCGTACCGGGCCCTCGGGCTGGGTGGGACCCAGCCCAGTTCAGCACACTTGCCAAGCCCGTTCTGAGAGAACTGAGAGGGAAACCCTCGCATTTTCTTTGCAGTTGATGTCAGGGGGTCTGGAAGCCGCTGCTTTGGTGGCATCTGCCCCTTCGTGATGCGTTCGTGGCTCTCGGCCTGCGTCACCGAGGTGACTAAGTCCAAGCCCTGCTGTTCCTGATGGAGGCGGGAGCAGGGGGACTTAGGGGCACGTTACGTCCGAGGGCCGTGGGGACCGTCCTGCTACCCCTGGTGTGTCACGGCGACCTGGGGAAGGGTGGCCCTGAGCCGGGGTGGGAGGGCTCCGCGGAGGAGGACCACGTGCCCCGGGCCCTCTGTGCCCCCAGAGCCTCCCCTGGCCAGGTCAGCGTGCCCGGCACCAGCCCCTGGACTCTGGACCCACTGCTGAGCTGGCCTCAGGCTGCTGCCAGGCCTGGTGGCAGCAGCCACCTCTGCTCCCAGCCTGGAGGCCACTGGCCCCGCGGAAGCGAGGCTCTCTGAATGCTGCAGGCTGGCAGGACAGGGAGGAAGGGAAGGCTTGTTGCCCCGGGGGTTGATCATTGCCCTGGACTTGGCTTCCTGGGCTTGTTTCCACAGATGCTTTGGGAACATTTGGGGCAGAGGCCAGCAGCCTGACAACAGTTGCCCTTCCGTGTCCTGGGACAGCATCCAGGCCCCAGTCATGCCCTGCTTGTCCCTTGTTTCACCCTCCCCGGGTCCCAGCCCCACCTCCGCCCCTCAGAGCCTCTTCTGTCTCGCCCGGGAAATGAGAATAAACTCTGGGCCTGGTGGGCCGGGCAGTGAGTGGGCACATCAGTGGGTGGACAGGGCAGTGAGTGGACAGGGCAGTGGTGGGCGGGGCAGTGGATGGGCAGGGCAGTGAGCAGGACAGTAGGTGGACAGGGCAGTGGGTGGATGGGGAAGTGGTGGGCAGGGCAGTGGGTGGGCGGAGCAGTGAGGGGGTGTGGCAGTGAGTGGATGGGGCAGTGGGTGGACAGGGCAGTGTGTGGACAGGGCAGTGTGTGGGCGGGGCAGTGGTGGGTGGGGCAGTGAGGGATGTGGCAGTGAGGGGGTGTGGCAGTGGGTGGACAGGGCAGTGAGTGGACAGGACAGCGGGTGGGTGGGACAGTGGGCGGGCCGGGCAGTGTGTGGACAGGGCAGTGATGGGCTGGGCAGTGAGGGGTGTGGCAGTGAGTGGACAGGGCAGCGAGTGGACAGGGCAGTGGGTGGGCGGGGCAGTGAGGGGGTGTGGCAGTAAGTGGACAGGGCAGTGGTGGGCAGGGCAGTGAGTGGACAGGGCAGTGGTGGGTGGGGCAGTGGGTGGACAGGGCAGTGGTGGGCTGGGCAGTGGGTGGGCGGGGCAGTGAGTGGACAGGGCAGCGGGTGGACAGGGCAGTGGGCGGGCCGGGCAGTGGGCGGGCCGGGCAGTGGGTGGGTGGGGCAGGCACAGATGATTTTCCCTGGGCACTCAGGTCCCCTTGGAGATAGTTCTCCAGCCAGCTGACTGTTCCCTGCCCGGGCGGCAGGGAGAAAGCTGTACTTTTCTGTATTGTTCGCTGCCTGCAAGGTAGCTAACGTGCATGAACCAGCCAGCCCCGGTCAGCTCCGGGTCAGCCCAGCGGGGTCTGCTCAGGGGGCCATCAGCCCCTGAGAAGGGCAGCAGAGGTGGCGTCACTAACTCCCTCTGAGTCCGGCCTGTGGGTGGAGGCAGCTCCACTCTAATGTGGTAAATCCAGACAAGAGCTAACTCACTCGTCTGGAGGGCTGCTCAGCGGTCATCTAACTAGTGCCCCTCACGCCAGGCCCAGTGGGCTCCAGGACCCCCGGGAGCCAGCTCCATCTCTGTGTCCAGCAGCAGGGGCCGGCACCGGAGTCCATGCCAGGCCGAGCCAAGAGAGGGAGGGCAGTCCTTCCTCACTGCCCGGAAGGCCTCCCTGACTGCGTGCTCCCCCGGGGGATGGGTGCCCCCCCGGACAAGGACGTGCGTCTGCTGAGCGTGCCCATGGAAAGCCTGTCGGAAGGCTGTGGTCCTAACTGCCCGTCCCCAGTGCATCGTTGGGCAGTGGATCACGTGGTCATTCAACACACAGCCACTGAGCACCTGCTGCGTCCCTTCTGGGCTGGGTACCGGGAACACGGAGGTGAATAAGACCAGCGGGTCCCTGCCCTACAGGAGGGCCCACGTCCTCTGGCCGGGGAGACAGATGGGCAGGCTCCAGGGTGCAGGATGCTTGCCTGTGACAGGGGGAGGGACGGGGCCAGCTTCCCGGAGCTGAGACTTGGCAGGTGTGTGGGAGAGTGGGTCACAGGGCCCAGCCCTGTTCTGGCTCTGGGTCCCAAGCCAGAGAGGCCACGATCTGCTGGGGATTGCATGAGGGTTTCAGAGCCATGGCAGGGGCGGCCCCGTGTCAGCTGAGTAGCTGAGAGGAGCTCCTTGCATGAAGAAGGTGGCTGGGGACAGCCGGGCGGGTTCCTGCTCGGGTGGCAGCAGAGGGAGCCTGGACTGACCGGGCTGGTCCCCCAGGCTGCGGGTCTCCACGGTTACCGTTTCAAGAGCCCATGTCCTTCCCCACCCCCACCCCAAACCTGGGGCACAGAGGTCCGGGCTGCTTACCGCGGGGGCACCTGGAAGGAAGCAAGAGCCCCTGTGCTGACTGTGAGGCCCCTGAGCAGGGAGAAGACAGGCTTGTTGAGATGGTCCCAGAGGCCCAAACGCAAGGGCAGGGTGACTGAGCATGAGTGAGAACATTTTAGTGGAATTGGCAGAGGCCGCCGGGGTGAGAGAGCAAGCCTTGGTGTTGGACTCTGCCTCTGCCCAGCTGTGTGACCTTGGGCAAATCACTAGCCCTCTCTGAGCCTCAGCCCCTAGGCTTTAAGTTGGAGATGAGTGGGTGCTGACCCCTCACGCGGTATCCATGCAGCTTGTGTGGGACCTTAATGAGAGCCAGGCGCCCCCGTCACTGTTGTAGGACGACGCTTCCCGGGACCAGGCTGAGCGGTGGGGACAGGACTGGGTGAGCTGCCCGGCCCTTTGCGGGTGTGAACAAGGCCCTGGAGAACACAACTGGGTATTGGGTTTGATTGTGAGGCTTCTTGGAACGAATTGGAGTCGGTAGGGAGAAAATGAGAGAAAGCCCAGGTCTCCTGACTCTGGGAGAATCACCTGGACTCGGCCCCCTCGTGTCTGGGCTCCCTGACCTGTGGGACGCGGGGACGCCCTGGCCCTCTCCGGGGCTGGGAACCTGGCACAGGGAAGAGAGCACCGTACAGCCACCCACCTGCCTGCTCGGAACCCTGAAACATGCCAGAGCAAACCCAGGCGCCTGCTGCCGCTCAAAGAGCCCAAGCCCCCTTCCGTCGGGGTCATGGTGACAGTGAGCCGGTGCCGCCCCACCTGTGCCGGGAAGTGTCCCTCTTGGTCTGGGGGACAGTTCTTGGGCCACTGCTGCAGCTCTCAGCTTAGGGGCACTTTTCTTGTAAAACAACCAGTGTTTGTCGGCTTTGCAAACAAGGGGCTTCCTGCCGTGAGCTGGAATAAACTGAAGTGAAATAAAAGTAAGGACGATTGACCAGTGCCAAGCCCCTAGCAGGCTGTGCCTACGTCCTCAGAAACAGAAAGCACCTTCCAAGCAGCTCTTTCCGTTTCATAGAGAAGGAAGCTGAGAGTCAAAGTTTTCTTTCAAATGTATTAAATGTGTACGTACATCATTTTTGCCTAGTAAAATAGGCAGCCTGGCCACAGGGACAGTGATAAAACAGACCCAGTGTCACTGGCCTCCGACGGTGCATCTCCTTTGCAACAGCACTTGACGTTGTGTTTTACTGGGGGTGGCCGAGCCTCAGGGGTCCGGCTGAGCTCCTTGAGGGACCCCAGCCCCTGCCTGCGAGGGGCCTGGGGAAGCAGGGCAGGCCTCAAGAGGATGCCAGGGTGATAACTGGGGCAAGGAGAGGGGATGGACCAGCTGGACGAGTGACCGAGCACAGAGATGACCACGGAGCATCACGCCCTCTCCCTCTTCTCTTTCCCTTGTAGATACAGAACCAGGCTCCCAGTCAGGTTTACCCAGGCACCACCCCCTATGCCTCTCAGGTTTGTCCTTCCCACTACCGTGTCGGCCTCACGTCTGGTCCTGGTGTTGTCCCGTTCTCGCTGGTGTTGTGCTGGGTGTAGCCAGAGCTGGGGGTCATCCACTTGGCGGGGGTCCTTGATGGGTGTTAGTGTCCTGGGGCTGCCATACAGAATGCCACAGACTTGGGGATCTTAAACAGCAGAAATGGATTTTCTCACAGTCCTGGAGGCTGGACGTCCAAGATCAAGGTGTGGGCAGGTTGGTTTCTCCTGAGGCCTCTCTCCTGAGCGTGTAGAGGGCCGTCTTCTCCCTGTGTCCTCACATGTCATCCCTCTGTGCATGTCTGTGTCCTAGTCTCCTGTTCTTATACGGACACCAGTCAGGTTGGATCCAGGCCTGTCCTAAAGACTCCGTTTAAACCTAATTGCATCCTTAAATGCCCTGTACCTCCAAATACAGTCACATTCTGGGGTACTGGGGTGTTGACTTCAACGTATGAGTTTTGGAGGGATGCAATTCAGTTCATGATGCGGCCCCTCCCAGGCTGCTGATACCACTGCAGCGGGTGTGGACCACTGAGAGGGGCTGGACAGAATTCCAGGGGGTGGGAGGAAGGGGCCTGCTAAGAAAACAAGAGAGGAGCCGTGAATGGGTAGGGAGAGGGGGGCGCTTTGTGAAGATGGGTCCCGTTTAGACGGGGCAAGTGGGAGGTGTGGAGTGTTAGGTACGTGGGTGGTCCCAGCAGGGGTGAGGGCTGGACCAGGAGAGGGTCCAGGAGCTACCCGGTCACGCCCGACAGGTGGGGATGGGCACAGGTGCAGCGAGTGGGGTGGGAGCTGGAGACAGGCAGGGTCCTCGCACTGATGGGGGGCCTGACGCGGGGGAGTGGAGGAGATGGACAGTCCTCTCGGGGATGTCACCTCGGGGGTGCAGGAGTCATGGTCGGAACCGAGGGAGGAGGGGCGGGGGAATGGTTCCAAGCCACAGTGGGCACGCGAGGAGCAGACCACAGACGTGACGGCCGCCGAGTCAGACAACAGAGGCGGGGCTGGCGGAACGAGCTGCAGTGCATCCCCCGTAATCCACATGGAGAATAAGGTCTCTGAGCAGCACAGTTCCGCCTTTGCCGTTGGAGCGCGCAGAAACACGGAAACGGCATCGCTTGCTCTCATCCTCCGGAAAACAGATAGTGTTGATGCCGTGAAAGCTTGGCGATCACGGGAGCGATTCCGGCCGGCGCTGAAAGCATGGCTGTTTGCTTGCAGCCAGGGTCACCTGCTGTGTCTTCTGATTACAGCTATGCTGTCGTTCATTCAAGCCTGCATGTTTATTTTAAGAATTCTTTCAACCTGCAAATAAAAAGTATCTCGTGAGCCGGCCTTTCTGTTGGAGCGTAATTGCCTCTGAAAGGCTCTTCGCGTTGACGGTCTACTTCAGCCGCCTCCTGTCTCCTCCTCTCCTAGGAAACCAGAACCTCTTCAGAGAGCATCATTTCCGTCCCTGCTTCCAGCACCTCAGGGTCTCCGAGCCGCGTGATTTATGTAAGTTGGATTCTCTCTGTGGAGAGTGGGGAGGGGCCCCGGGGCCTGGGGTCATTGCTGAGTGTGCCCTCGGAGTGGGGGGCCGGGGCCAGCGCCCCCCGGAGGCCGCGGGAGAGGTTGGTGCAGACCGTGAGGCTGGGTCGGAGCCTCCAGTGTGGATGTGCTGTGTGACCACGGCCGCCCCGTGATGGCGACAGGTGCGCAGAGAGGTGTGCTCACAGCTGTGGCTACAGGGGTGACAGTGAGTCACTTCCGCATCCCCACAGCCAGGACTCACCTGCGTAAATAACACTCGGGCCCGTGTCACAAATAACGGTGCAGATCTGTGGCTGCTGCTGTGGAAAGTTCCTAACGTGTTTTTAGAAGAAGCATGTGAAGGGTAATACATGTTATCGGATCCCGTTTGCGTTTGTGTGTGTATGTATTTGTGTGCATGTGTGTGTGTGCATACGCATATGTGTATATGTGCACGTGTGTGCGCGTGCGTGTGTATTATGGGTATTTGTGTGTGTATGTGTGTACGTGCACATACAAGTCTAAAAATGATTGGGAACATTTTAACGAATAGTTAATAAGAGTTACCTCTGGGTGGTGGGATTAGACATGGAAGGTGATGGTTGTAATTATTTGCTAGTTTACTTGTCTAAGTGGCAAACTCCATTGTCTGGGAAAGAGCCTGTGTGGGGTGGGGGAGGGGAAGGGAGCGAGCCCTGGACCGGGTGTCTTGGCCCAGCTGCACACCCGAAGGACAGCCGGTGACTTGGGACGAGTCGCCTCTCTCATCCCCCCCGCCACCCGGCCAGGGCCTCATTTTTCTCTCACACGATGGAGGTGGAATTCGCTCTTCTCAACACTGCTTTTCACTCCCCAGACTCTCCTTCTAGTTGGGCTAGGGCCATTCCTGACCCTAATTCCGATAGGTGATAATAACAAGGGTTCTAGTCCGGAGAGTAAATCACAGGATGACCCTTTGCAGATGCAAACCCAGAGGCTCAGAAAGGCAGCACGACGTCACCCGGCAGCTGTGTGCCCTTGGGTGGGATGTTGGCCTCTCTGAGCCTCTGGGAGCTCACCTGTACCTGGGGACCCACAGTGCCTGCTGCCCAGGTCCACTGAGGTACTGAGTGGGGGGCCCCGGGCACAACCCTGAGCCCAGAGGGAGGACAGGAAACGCTCGCTCGCTGGGATTACTGTTACGACGTCTGTGCTCGTTTGCCGGGGCCGCCGTAAAGCCCCGCAGACCAGGGGGCTTCAACCACAGAAATGTATCTTCTCACCGTCCTGGAGGCTGGGAGTCTTGAGTCAAGGTGTCTGGAGGGTTGGTTCCCTCCGAGGCCTCTCTCCTGGACGTGTAGACGGCTGTCTTCTCCCTGTGTCCTCACGTGGTCGTCCCTCTGTGCGCATCTGTGTCCTAATCTCTTCTTCTCAGAAGGACACCAGGCGTACTGGATCAGATCCCACCCTAATGACCCCTTTTTACCTTAATCACCACTTTAAAGGCCCATATCACCAAATGTAGTCACTTCTGTGGTGCTGGGGGCTAGTGGTTCGACATAGAAATTTGGGGAAGCACGATTTAGCCCCTAATACCATCATCATCATGAATAATAATAATAATGACTATTGGTATTTGAATGAGATCGTATTTGTGAAGCACTCGGCATGCGGCCAGGCATGGTCGTGTCCCCCGACTGCAGCTACTGCTGGTAAACTGCTCATTAAACATGAACTATTATTTTTTGAACAAACTGGTGTTTGTAAGACGCTTAGGTACGGTAGTGACCATGTAACGGTGCAGTGAGCAGTGACCAGAGTCCCTGGGCTCTGTGATCACTGTTACTTTAAAAGTCATGCAGCGGGAAGCAGTGGAGCTGTCTTTGAACCCAGGTCTCTGCCACCACAGAGCTTGGGTTCTTCCCAGGGAACCCCGCTGCTCAGTGCTGAAAACCAGCCCTGCTGGGTCCCTTCTTCCACCTGGCAGTTCTCAGCACAGCCAAGTCCACGCCCCTTGATCGGGTCACATGGCCTTCCCGCCCTTGGGGAGCACGAACTTGCCAATGATGACGGTGGGCAAAGAAGTTGCCCACCAGCTGGCTGTGCCTTCAGCCGTGGTAGATTCCAGCTGGTCGCACCGTCCCAGCTGAGACAGACTTCTCGCTCAGCTAATACGAGTGTGCTGGATTCCTGTTTAAACAGAAGGCCTTGAAGTGTACACACGGCTATATTTTTAAAAAAGTAAAAGTTAAAAAAAAATAAGTAAATAGAAGACCTCGGGCGAATTAATTTAATCCTGTCTCCTGAGTCTGAAGCAGCAGTTGTTAGTTTGACACTGCAGAGGTGCCTTGAGTCCTGGGTACCAGGGAGTGTACTCTGCCGTCTCCTTTTGCCTCTCAGCATCCCAGTTAGATGCAGCTCAGAGAGGTGCAGAAGCTGGTCTGTGTCACAGCCTCTAAGTCATGGGGCCACCGTCCAAGGACCTGCATCCATCCCTAACACATGGACTCCCAGCACCATGGCCAGCGCCCAGCCGGGAAACGTCCCACCCTGGCCATCCCTCCCAAGTCAGGGTCGGTATCAGCACCAGTTGGCAGTGCACATCCATGCAGTTCCTTCCCTGAGGAGACGAGAGTCTGGTCAAGCAAGTGCCCTTCTTATCTCAGGCTCAGCCCCTCTGCTCTTCCTTCCATCTCCCTGTTGGTATCTCCTGTCACCCTACTGTGCACCCAACTCTGCTCAGCGCCAGGCACACTCAGGACCTCAGGACGGTGGTCCCAATCCATGCACCAGCTCAGCGTGCTTAAAAGGATGCCAGCCGCCTGGGACCCGCCTGCTGTGGGATGGTTGTTCTCAAATGCAGCTTCCTCTCCCTCCCTCTCCCTTCCTGCCCGTCAGGAAGAGATCAATTCCCCGCGAAGTCCCTGTCTGCAGGAATGGCAGGGAATTTATCATGTGATGTGGCTACCGTCTCCCACACGGGCTGTGAGCTCCTGGCGGGCAGGGACCGTGCCTCACTCACCTTAGTATCTAGGATAAAACATGCACACAGTAGGTGCTCAATAAATTGTGGGTTTTTAAAAGTAATCTTTTCACCGCCTTTTTCTTTATTACAAATGTAACCCACATTTATTAGCAACAAAATAGCGATTGGTGCAGAGGTGAAAATGAATACCATTTATAATCCTCCCAACCAGAGTAGCCACTGTTAATATTTTGAAGTATGCCCTTTAGGTTTCTTTTTCTCTGTGTGCGTGTATTTTTTTTTTTTAACAAAATGAGGTCACATTGGCTATATTGTTTTGTAACCTTTCTTCAGCATGGCAATAAAGCAGTGAGTCGGCATAGCATAAAAGCGGCATCGTTAGATTATATCATCGGTAGGATTAGGTTGTAGCTATAACATCATATATGGTCATATCTTATTATTAGTTGTTATGCTGGATACAGTGTAGGAGAGAAGAAAGCTAAGGGAAAACACTTGTACTTACACACACTCCAGTGGCCTTCCGCCAATGAGACAACATAGCCCGTTGTCATGGCAACCGCCCCGGGACTTGGATGCAGGGAAATGCATCTGTGAGCCCCGCTGGGCAGGACAAATGCTGAGGAGCCAGGAGCACAGCCGCCTAGCTGGCCAGCTGGGGGCGGGCAGGCTTCTCTCTGAGCAGGGTCGTGTTGGTGGTAGTTGGCATCGTCGGGCCGCCTCCCTGATCCCCTGTGTCAGGGCAAGGCGGGCGCTGTTGACTGTGCACCTGGGTCTGAGAAAGCCAGCGGGCACTGAGCGCTGCGATCATAGCAGGACAGAGGTGGGTGGGCGGACACAGCCTCCACAGTGACCTGTGAATGCCGACCTCTCCCAGCCCCTCGGCAGCATCGCCCTTTATATCGAGCTGTGTTGATGGTCACGAAATCCAGCAGATGGACAAGGCCCAGGTGGTATTCCCATTTTCAGGGGGAGACAAAGACCCAGAGAACCCAGCTGGCTTTGGCAAATGCGCAACGACTTTAGCTCAATTCGGCATGCCTGCCCCGAGGGCCTGTGCCACGTCAAGCATGGAGTTAGGGAGAGGGACTCCATGGTGAATCAGGGTCCTGAACCCCCAGGAGCCACCAGCCTCAGGAGCAAAGGAGACAGATGCGCCAACGAAATCAGCACCTTTACTCACAGGAGAAGGGGAGGTGGTGGAGGGGAAGCGTGCTGAATCTGGAAGGACCAGAGGATGAGCCGGGCAAAGAGGCCTGGGAACGGCATTTCGGAGGGAGGGAACAGAATGTACCAAGCCCTCATGTAACCGAAAGTGCGGTCCAGCTGCTCGCTGCTCAAAAGCCAATAAAGAGGCAAGGCTGGTGGAAAGGAAACATTGCTTTATTTTGGACACCGGCAACGAGGGCGAGGTAGAGGAGGGCAGACTCCTGTCCAAAGGCTGACTCCCCCCGTGACAATCACTGGGCAAGAGCTTTTATAGACGGAGGGAGGGGGCTACATGCAGAAACTGCACAGTCAGCTCTGACCGTCGTCTTGAAATTGGTCATCGGTGGTCTGACCAGCGTCATCTTGATTGTTTTAAGTACAGTTAGTCTTCGGTTTCAGGGTCAGTCTATTCCCATTTCCTTGAGGTCAGTTCTTGGAATTGTGGCCACTTATGTCATGGCTACAGTCTGTCATCATGTAGTTAACTTCTTCCACCTGGTAGGGGTTTCAGTATCTACAAGGCAGCTCCCAGGATACGGCTCAGAATATTATCTGTAGCCCTTGAGGAGGAACTAAAGGTCTTTGACTTTGCTTAATGATTAAACTATTATCATTTGGTCTCCTTTGATGGTTTCCTTTGTTTCTGCATCTTCTCACTTCTCTGATTAAACTTTGGCTGAAGTTTTCCTGCAGACAAGAGGCAGGCGGAGGACGTGGGCGGAAGCACCATAGGGTCCTGCTCCGTTTCACTCAGGCTGTGGGTGTTCTGGAAACTGTAAGGGGTCGAGCATGACAAGGGGCATGGGTGGGGGAGTGAGAGGGTTGGATGAGCAGATACACAAGGGCCAGGTCCCCAGGGGCCTGAGTTCAGATTTCCCCGGAAGGCAGAGAGGAGCAGCTCAAAAATGCTGATCGGGCGGTACCACAGTTACAAACGACAGACTCAGGGTTTGAACTCAGGTCTTCTGAACGTTGCCCAGGGTTCCCAAGGGAATCGCCAGAGATCTGAGACATCAGGTGTTCACTCTCTCAACCTACGTCACAGATGGCAGGGATTGCCCCTAGCCTACCCAACGACTCACGCGAGCCTTGGAGTTGGTGGTCAGAGAAGTCTTCCTGGAGGAGGTGGGCTGCTGGACTTCAGAGGATAAAGGAAAGCTGGAGGGTGGAGGCTGAACCTGGCACACTGGGGGAACAAGGAGGAGACACCTTATGATGAATGGGCTGGAAACATCAGGGCCGAGTTTGGAAACTGCAGTGAGGGCTGTGTCACCCATCCCGGAAGGGGCTGCCGGAGGATGTGAGCTGGAGGACGACGGGGTGCAGCTGGAGTTTGAGTGACGTGGCCCTGGCGGGGAGGAGAGCCATGGTGGGGAGGAGAGCCATGGTGGGGAGCATGGCTCTGGACTCAGACAGCCTGCGTCTCCTCCCTGGCTGTGTGACTTTGGGCAAGTTACCTGGCCTCTCTGGGCTCCGGTTCTTCCTCTGTGAAGAGGACGTCCTGTGAGCGCCCCCAGTGCTGTCCAGGGTGGAAGGTGTAGTGTCACGCTGCTGTTGGTGGTGTTTGTTAGAAGAATTGCTGGCAGGACAGCCCCCCAGAGGCTGTGGCTGGATAGGGACGCGGGCAGTGAGGGCCTTGACCAGAGCCGCCTGGGTCTGGGAAGGGGCAGAGAGGAAGGCGGGGGCAGCGTTGACCTGGCCGGGGGCACCGAGGGAAGCCGAGGTTGAGATGAGGGTTCCTGCTGGGTTTGGGGGTCGAGCCGAGCCAGCGGGGGCAGCCCGAGTGGCCAGCTTTGCCTGTGGCTGGCAATGCCAGGCTGAGATTAATCCTCGGAGGGGACCCGGCGGAAGGAGGTGACTGGTGTGTCAGCTCCAGGAGGGATGGGACCCTGGGCATCCGCCACACCAGGAACTGGCTCGTGCTGGGAGCAGGCTGGGGACTCACGTTCTCTCTTCCGTAGGGCTCGTGGGCTGTAAACATTCCGCCGGTGCTGGAGGGGTGCTGCAGGGACACGGGGACTGAGACCGGTGTTTGGGGGGGAACCTCGGCCCTGCTGTGAGAGCCAAGCTGAGGCGGCCACCCCGCTCCAAGGCCTGTCCCGTCAGTCACGCGCCCCCGGGCAGCCCCCGGAGCCAGGAGGAGGGGCCAGCGGGCGGTGCAGGGGAGGCCGGGCCCAATTGCAGGGGAGTGAGCACCCAGGTGGACCTCACCTAAGCAGACGTGGTGGCCCCTGAGTGTGTGTGTGTGGGTGGCTGGGTAGGGAGATGTGTGCGTGTGCACTAGTTTGGTGGGTGAGGTTGTGTGGGTGCGAGTGAGTGTGTGGAGGTGCGGGTGTGTCAGTGTCTCCCCTCCGCAGCTGTAGGCGGGCGTGTTCCCCGTGTGCGTGCATACGTAGATTGTGCGTGCAGGTCTGCATGTCCGTGGTGGGTGTTTGCATGTGTGCGTACATGCCTGCACATGTCGTGCATGTGTTTAAATGCACGTATGTACATCTTTTACGTACGTGTGTATTTTATGTGCACACGTGCGTATGTGCGTTGCGTGCGTACAAGTATACTACGTGCACGCATCCACGTGTGCGTGTGTATGCATGTCTACACGTGTGCTTTCTGTGCCCGCACACATGTGTTTGTTTACACGTACATGTGTATGTATGTGTGCGAGCATAGATGTGTGTGTGTGTGGCTGTGTGTGTATTTAGACCACGGGCTGAGTTCTCACTGTCCGCGGGGACGCAGGTCCGTGTGCCACGAGGCTTCCCCACGCCTTTGCCCCCGGCCCCACCTCTACCCACGGCTGCCGAGCGACCACGCCTCCAGGTGTGGGTCTGACCACCCCCTCGACTCTTTCCTTCCTCTCGCAGGCCAAGCTGGGTGATGAGATCCTTGACTACAGAGACCTGGCCGCTCTCCCTAAGAACAAGGCCATCTACAGCATCGACCGCCCCGACATGATCTCCTACTCGCCCTTCATCAGCCACTCGGTGGGGGACAGGCAGAGCTGCAGCGAGGTACGGCCCGGCCCGGGGCCAGCCTGCAGGGCGTGGCACCTATAGCCGGTCCCCTTGGCGTCCGTCCCCACGGCCATCCTGCGGCCTCAGCCTACTCTACCCCCTCAGATAACCTGTGCCTCCTCTTTAAAGAATTCCCAGTGTGCTCTGGCCCCGAACTGCCCCTCGCAGACACACTGACGGAGAGGGTCTGGACAGGCCCCCTCGGTGGGCGCAGAAAGCAGGAATCTCGCTGGCGATCAGGAAAGTGACAGGAGCAAAGCGAGAGTCTCTTTGTTTTCTTAAGTTGGGAAATGTATCCTGTTCCTTTGTCCAGAGCGCTCCAGGCCGCGCTCCGGCTCTCCCCGCCCTGGCCCACTCCTCCGTCCCGTGAGCTCCCCGAGCTGGCTTGACCCCTGGTTGACCCCAGACGACTTCTTCCCTGCTGTCCCGTGGGCAGTGTCCTTTGCTGGACCTTCCTAATCGTGGCCGCTTCTCTCCATTTACCCTGGAATTTGCTGGTGAAGTCACTTTTCCTTTGTGAGACTTCAGTGTGACCGGGCCACGGGGGTGCCTGGGATGGAGAGGAGGCGTGTTTTGCCAGCTGTCGGCCATGTCTGTGTGCCGGTCACGTGGGGTGGCCCGGCGTGGGCGCCCTGCTCCGAGTCTCCCAAGCTGTAGCCGAGGCTCCGGGGCGCCAGGCTCGACGCAGACGCCTGCTGTGGTCCAGCAGCTGGCGCAGCTGCGGGGCGTGAGGGCAGGGCGGGGACAGCCCGGGGCTCCGGGGGTCCGCGGCACGCTCACCGGTCATGCTGCAGTGGCCTGCCCTTGTCGCTGATATCACAGTCATCACCCGCTCCTCAGGCCCGCTCTCACTCTGCGCTGACACTGGGCTTCTGCGTTGCCCCGCCTCCTGTGGCCCGGCACTTTGGGAATGACCGTCCCAGGGTATAGATGAGAAGACGAGGGTGAGGGAGAACGAGGGTGAGGGCCCAGGACCGTGCTGCTCACGGGGGCAGAGCTGGGGCTTGGGCCCTCGTGGCTGGCCTTGGTCACTGCTGCCTCCGTGCCGGCTGTGGCCATTGCCCAGAGCAAGGTACTGGGCTTCTGTCCCTCCTCCATCTCCTGGGACCTCGAGGCCTCTGCCCTCCACAGGCCCTGCCATGCCCCGGCTGCAAGCCTGCTCAGAGGTGTCCTCTGTGGGAGCCCTTCTGTGGGTAAATGGTGGAGTGGGCCACAGAACGTGGGTCAGTGCGCTGAGCTGAGCAAACCCTGGCCTCGGGGCCGGACCGCTTCCCCTGCTTCTCTGGAACGGCAGCCTTCCAGCAGTTCATCCGAGTGTGGGAAGGTGGGGAAGGGAAGGGCAGTGGGCTGGAAGCACAGAGATCTGCCAGCCTTTCTGAGCCTCAGTCTCCCCTTCAATGAAATGGGAAGATTGGGAAACACTTTCCCCTTGCCGTTCTAACGGTACGAGAAAATGTCCCCAGTCGCCAGGGCTCCTCCTTGGAAACTCTCCACAGCGTCTTCCTACCTGTCCAGGAGAGGGGGAGACAGGTGAGCTTTCCTGCCTGGAAGCCCCGTTTCCAGAGCCCCTTCTGCCAGGCGCTCCCTCCCTAAGTCCTGGCAACACGTCTGTAGGTGGCAGGCGGTGCTCACCTGCTCCAGCGGGAGGTGCCTGGCCGGGGAGGCCGGTCACCGCTCCCCAGGGCCCCGATGACCCCCCTACCCCGCACACTGTCCTCACCCCGAGCCCCGAGGCTCCGAATCGTGCTTCCTTCCTCTGGGCCCCTTTTCTCTCTTCGGAAGAAACCCGAGGGTGATGGGCTCGCAGGGTGTGGCCACCCAACGCCCAGAGCCAACAGTCTTCCCTTCAGAAATGAGTCCTCGTGGGGGAGAGGCAGGGCGGGGGCGGGCCAGGATGAGACAAGGTCCAGGCTCATCCTCAGAGAGGACTGTCTTGGGGACCTTTTCCTCGGGTGCCATTGACTGTGTGTCTCCAAAAAGGTTCTGGGACGTGTGTTGGGTCTCGTGCTGGGGTTCCCTGCCACGTGGAGGAGGGTCCATGGTGCAGATGAGCCTGGGCCGGGGCGCTCTCCTCCCCGAGTGACCGCCAGGCGCCGGGCCTAACGGGTAACTCTGTGTTGTGTCCACAGTCCCCGCGGCTGCTCTCGCCGACGCCGCCCGAGGTAACCGCCCCCGGCCCACCCCGTTTGCTCGTGGCACTGCCGCCTGGATGGTAAAGATAACCAACCGGGGCTCCCCTGGAGGGTCTCCCAGGCCCTCGACTGTGGCCTCTGCCTGTGGCATCAGGCCGTGACCCTCTGAGGCTGGGGCTTCCTCCTCGGCGTTGGTTATTTTTATAATCGTATCCCATCTGCATGCTTCCCTTGTGTCTGCCGGCCCTGCGACACGGACACCTGGGACACCTGTGTCTGACCTGAGGTCTGGGTCACGGCTTTCTTTAGAGAAGAAGTCCAGGGGCTGGGTTAGCCTGGGCTACGTCATGCGCCTCCAGGTGGGACTTATGGGAATATCTTGGGTCCTCGAGGATAAACGTGCTGGAAGCCTTTCTCTATCAAATAGCACGGGTTAGCATCCCGCTCTTTTTTCTTGTTTCTCAAAACTGATCCGCGACATAGACAGCCACCAGTCAGACTCCAGTCTGCGTGGGCATCAGACCCTGGGTCCAGGAACGCGACAGCCAAAGCCTGCGCGTGGGCAGCTAGCACCGAGCTGCCACGCCCACGTGTGGCCGCGAGCCCCGGGCACAGTGCAGGCGAGAAGACAGGACATCTGTATGATGTCAACTGGCCAGCGGGGCTGTGCAGAGGATGCCTGGGGATGGAGGCTAGACGGCAGGGCTGCAGCCATCCCAGGGGAGAGAGTGTGTGTCCATGGCCAGGATGGGCCGGGCCGAAGGGGCTCGGGGTGAGGCATGGGTGGGGCCTGGCAGGTGTGCTCCCAGCATGAGGGCTGCCTGAGCGGAGCGTGCAGGTGGGCACACAGGCAAGCTTTAAGGACAGTGGCTCTGTGGGTTCTGCTAAAGAGCAAGCCCTAGGAGGCGGGAAGTCAGCTTGGAAGGGCGTGGGAGCCGTGAGCGCCAGACCCAGACTCTCCCATTACTCATCCCACGCCAGCCTGGAGGGGCAAAGCGGCAGCGTCCACCCCACGGCAGGACGCTGGCCCGTGTCGTGCCTCAGGCCAACGCGCCGAGCTGTGGCAGGCGGGCGGTCTGCTCTGCCCCCGTGCCATAGTGCCACGCCATCTCATGCCACCTGTCACCTGCCCTGACCCCCCCAGACAGTGGCCATCCTGCTTGAATGGAGTCTGCGTTGTCAGTGCTTGTGGGTCTGACTCAGCTGGGCTTCTGGGCCGGGGCGGGGGCCTTCTTCCTACTGCCCGCACCTGGGGAGCCCCTATCAAGGCCGGGGGGAATACAGAATCTCAGTGGTTCTCAAACTGTGTTCCGAGGGGCCTTGGGTGCCAGGACGGATGGGGCGAGAGGGGAGCTGAAAGACGTAGGTGGATGCAGGTACCTCTGCCTCCTCTGTGGGAGCCCCAGCTACAAGGAGGGGCTGCTGGAGGCGTGGGCGGGACCCTGCCCTCCAGTACCTGGCAGGCACGGGGACGATGCTCAGGCCGAGGGGAGCGTCAGCACCAAGGCCAGCCCCCCGTCTGGCTCTTCAGATGTGCCCTGGAAGGTGGGGAGACTGCGTCCTGGGGCCGTGTTGAGTCAGCCTCTTGGGTCAGGAGAGCAAACGCGGAGTGGAGGGCGGAGGGGTGGGTGGATACGGGTGGGCGGTGCTCTCGGCACCGGGGTTCACCAGGCTGTCTTCTCCCAGGGGTATCAGGATGACCGCTCCTACAAGCAGTGCCGGACCTCCAGCCCGAGCTCCACCGGGTCGGTCAGCCTCGGCCGTTACACCCCGACCTTGCGGTCGCCCCAGCACTACAGCCGTCCAGGTACACGCCCCCCGCGGCCTCTTTTACCCCCGTGAAGCTCTGCTTCTTGTGGCTTTTCCTCTTATGAGTCTGTCTCTTACTTGAGCACCTGGAGAAACGACCGACAGGGCGTGGGATTGCCAGTGGGCGATGGAGAGCCCGTCCTTTTAATGAATGAAAAGGCCCTCTCGTGCCGGGGCAGGGAGGTTAAGCGCAGGGGCAGCCGGTTACCCCGTTGGTTAGAGGAGCCGTCCCGTGACGCACACAAGGCAGCGCTGAGCACATAGGATCCAGCTCACGTGTCAGTAGCAGGAGATGTCAGGAAGGTGAAACGGCACGGAGGACAGGAGGCCAGAGGTCACTTAGTTGAAAGCTCGCGTGGCTCTGGGAAGGTTTGCGCTGTGGAGACAAAACCAACGCACAGAAGCTAGAGTCAGCACGTGCGTTGACACTTCACCGGTAGCTGGGTTAGTGGCCCCAAAGACAGCTGTCCCCAGGGGCCACTGCCAGCCCCCTCCCAGTGGGGAGAAGCCCGAGGAGGACCCTCTACCCCATCCCACCTCATCCCCCGCGTGGCGCCCAGCGATGTTCCATTCCTTTCCCTTTTAAAAATCCGCGTTGCCCTCAGTGTGTCCGAGCCACAGGGACTCCACACAGAGCTGCTTCTTGAGGGATTTTTGCCAATCATCTCCTCCTCGGCCAGCTGTTGCATGGCTCTATCCTCACCTCCATGGACTCCACTCTGATTTTTGCAGCCCTTGTGGAAAAATCACAACTCATTCATTTGCAAAGTTATTTTCATGGACTCCCTGCAATGTGCCTGGTACATACTGCTCGGTAGATGTTTGGAAAGTGGGTGAGTGAGGGAATGAATGAATGAATGAATGAGTGAGTGAGCGAGTGACCAGGCGAGCAGGTGAGCCCAGGAGAAGGGCTGTCAGCCTCTGCTGAGCCCTGCCCACCATATTTGGGTCTTCTGGCCTTGTTGGTTGTGCCTGGTCAGGTGCTCACCCCAGAGCTGAGACCCAAATCTCTCCTGGGCAAGGCCGGGGCACCTGTCAGGTGACAGATCACTCCCTGGTCTGGCCATCTGCCCTCCACCTGGGCCCTGGGTCCCAAGGAGCCCCCTAAGTGGGGCAGTGGGCAGGGCTCAGGGGCCAGCAGCTCCCACCCGGCAGGCCTGGGGGCGCTGCCACCCTGACCCCAGAGGGCAGGGCTTCCTCACTCGGAACCCGGGGCAGACTGGCCCAAAGTGTTCTTAGCGGCGCCCCTTCAGGTGCCTCAGAAAGATATGCATTCCTCGAGAGAGGAAGCACAAATGTTCCTAGCAGAGCGGGGCCTAGGAATATTTTGCGGCTTTGTGGCCCCGAGCGCAGGGCCGACTCTGACTTGTTCTCTGTTGCCCGCAGCTGGTACTGTGAGTGTTGGTACCAGTAGCTGCCTGTCCCTGTCCCAACACCCAAGCCCTACCTCCGTGTTCAGACATCATTACATCCCCTACTTCCGAGGTAAGGCACTCAGGGCTGCGGGCTGTGGTGCAGGGCCGGCCGTGCGTCTGTGTCTCGCTGTCCCGTGTGCGCCGCATGGCTTCCCCGAGCCCACGTCCCACGCCCATGCTCCCCGCTTTGCGTCTTGTGTGTCCAGCTCTGTTGGCGTGTACACGTTCCCAGGAAGTAACTTGTGTCAGGGAGCAAGCGGCGAGGCAGGAAGAGGGGTCTGGGACCCACCCAGTGCCCACCCTTGGGCTGGCGCCCAGAGCCTTTCCCTAAGTCATCTCCTTTTCTTTCCCACGTCAGCTCGGCAGGTGCGGGGACCGCTAGCCGTGCTTATCGGGAGCAAGTGCTAAGGCACAGAGGGTGGAGATGTCCACGACCTCAGCTCCTGGTGGCCGGGCGGGAAGCGTACCCCGCACGGCTGCAACTCCTCCCAGGGCGCAGACCTACCCGCCTTCCCCACCCACGCCCGGGCACGCGTGTGTGAATCACACCAGGAAAAGGACCCATTCCTTTTCAGTCCGTATATTACGGGCTGAATTACGTCCCCCCAAATTCGTATGTTGAAGTCCCAACCACCAGTGTGACTGCGTTTGGAGAGGGGGTCTTTAGGAGGTTATTAGGGTTACATGAGGTCATACAGGTGGGGCCCTAATCTGATAGCGTGGGTGGCATTTACGAAGAGGAACAGACGCTCTCTCTGCGCGCGCTCAGAGGAGAGGCCACGTGAGGACAGGACAGTTGTATTCAGCGAAGAAGAGAGGCCTCACCCAAAACCAAGGCTTGCCAGACCCTGATCTGGGACTTCCAGCCTCTGCAGCTGTGAGAAATGAGTGTCTGCTGTGTAAGCCACCAGCTGTGGTCCTTTGTTTGCAGCCCTAGCTGATTAATACACCATGAAAAGACTCCCGGGGCACGAGAGGAGCAGCAATGATCTCTTGCTGATTCCCCCAGACGCGTGTTAAGGTCCCCGTTCCTTACAGTTACTGAGTGGTGAAAGTTTCAAGAGAATCATCCGTCCCCGAGGGGCCAAGGGAGGACAGCTCAGCTGGATTATTCCATCATTGGATGGTCACCCGGCAGGGCTCCTTGGAACTTGGACGGTTCTCATTGTCATCATCACCTGTTTGCCTGACTCCATCAGCCTAACTGAGAAGAGAACCCCTGGTCATCGGGGTGCCTTCCTCTCCTCTTAGTGGACCTATCCCCACAGCTCATGGCCTGTTCTGGACGTACTGACTCTTCTGAGAAGCAGCAAAGCCCAAAATCCTGTGAGCGGGAGAGCAGCCCACAGGGCCTCTTGCACACCCGTGTGGCACAAGGGTGTCGCATGGCCGGGGTGTGCCCTCACCCAGAGGTGGACAGAAGACTCACTGCAAACTGGAGTGAATTTGACATTTAGACAAGTCACAGCAGGTCACCGAGGAGAGACGCCTCTTCTTCCTTTGCTTGAAGGTCAGAAGAGCACAGGGCTTTCCTCCCGCCTGATGTGGCCCTGCTTTGGGGTCCCTGGCAGAGGTGCGGCCCAGAGGCGAGGCCAGGCGGCAGGACCCTGGCCCTCTTGGCTGGGTCCTCGCGCCCCGGGGCAGCCCCTTGTGAGCTGGGCTGGCTGCCTGGGGCCGGTTTTGCCTACGTCCGTCCAGGCTGGGGCAGGGGCCATCACAGACGCTGCCCCTTAGGAGCCTCCACCTCGAGTTCTTACTGCGTCAGGCGACCTCAGCCCAGCTGCCCCAGCTGCAGCTGCCCCCGGCCTGCAGCACCATGTCCTCAGCCACATGAGAGAGGGCCAGGGAGGGAGGCCGAGGGAAGGGCAGCCCACTCACCTCAGGTAGGAGCAACGAGGCCCTTCCTTCCATCCTGTGCTGGGGGCAGGCGGGGCAGGCAGGCCCCCACCCCACTGCCCACCACATTTCTAAATGTCATGGCCCTTCCAATGGTGTCCCTGAGGTCCGGGGGCACGGTGCCCTGCGGTCTGCTCCGGGTGGGCACTGGCCCTGCGGTGGGCAGGGCTCTGCTCCGGTTCCCTCCTGACTGCTTTGGCCCCCAGTTCTCTCTTTTTTTTTTTAACATCTTTATTGGAGTATAGTTGCTTTACAATGGTGAGTTAGTTTCTGCTTTATAACAAAGTGAATCAGCTATACGTATACATATATCCCCATATCCCCTCCCTCTTGCGTCTCCCTCCCGCCCTCCCTATCCCACCCCTCTAGGTGGTCACAAAGCACCGAGCTGATCTCCCTGTGCGATACGGCTGCTTCCCACTAGCTATCTACTTTACATTTGGTAGTGGATATATGTCCATGCCACTCTCTCACTTCGTCCCAGCTTACCCTTCCCCCTCCCCGTGTCCTCAAGTCCATTCTCTACGTCTGCGTCTTTATTCCTGTCCTGCCCCTATGTTCTTCAGAACCATTTTTTTTTTTAGATTCCATATATAAGTGTTAGCATACGGTATTTGTCTTTCTCTTTCTGACTTACTTCACTCTGTATGACAGACTCTAGGTCCATCCACCTCACTACAAATAACTCAGTTTCGTTTCTTTTTATGGCTGAGTAATATTCCATTGTATACATGTGTCACATCTTCTTTATCCATTCATCTGTCGATGGACACTTAGGTTGCTTCCATGTCCTGGCTATTGTAAATAGAGTGGCAATGAACATTTTGGTACATGACTCTTTGAATTACGGTTTTCTCAGGGTATATGCCCAGTAGTGGGACTGCTGGATCATATGGTGGTTCTATTTTTAGTTTTTTAAGGAACCTCCATACTTTTCTCCATAGTGGCTGTATCAATTTACATTCCCACCAACAGTGCAAGAGGATTCCCTTCTCTCCACACCCTCTCCAGCATTTATTGTTTGTAGACTTTTTGATGATGGCCATTCTGTCCTGTGTGAGGTGATACCTCATTGCAGTTTTGATTTTCATTTCTCTAATGATTAGTGATGTTGAGCATCCTTTCATGTGTTTGTTGGCAGTCTGTATATCTTCTTTGGAGAAATGTCTATTTAGGTCTTCTGCCCATTTTTGGATTGGGTTGTTTGTTTTTTTGTTATTGAGCTGCGTGAGCTGCTTGTAAATTTTGGAGATTAATCCTTTGTCAGTTGCTTCATTTGCAAATACTTTCTCCCATTCTGAGGGTTGTCTTTTCGTCTTGTTTATGGTTTCCTTTAATGTGCAAAAGCTTTTAAGTTTCATTAGATCCCATTTGTTTATTTTTATTTCCATTTCTCTAGGAGGTGGGTCAAAAAGGATCTTGCTGTGATTTATGTCATAGAGTCTTCTGTCTGTGTTTTCCTCTAAGAGTTTTATAGTGTCTGGCCTTACATTTAGGTCTTTAATCCATTTTGAGTTTATTTTTGTGTATGGTGTTAGGGAGTGTTCTAATTTCATTCTTTCACATGTAGTTGTCCAGTTTTCCCAGCACCACTTGTTGAAGAGGTTGTCTTTTCTCCATTGTATATTCTTGCCTCCTTTATCAAAAATAAGGTGACCATATGTGCATGGGTTTATCTCTGGGCTTT